TCCCCCTTCAATAATTACATATAATTATTACAATGGAAGATTATAATTTGTAATTTAAATTTTCTAAAAACAAAGCCTGAAATATGCCAAATAAATGAAAATATCCCCATTTTTCCTTAATAGCATGTATAAACATGGCCATTTCTTAAACATAGTAAAATCCCTTCACTTTCTGTGAACAATGAGGCCTATTATACGGAATGTGCTATGCTTGAGAAAGCATTCTGCAGTCCTTGGCAGAGCTGTTCAGGCTGAGAATCACAAAGGATTTTGTGCTGCGTATAAATAGGGGGGAAGCGAAAGATGCAAACTATGCAATGTCTTGTATCAAAAAAAAAGTGGTTTGTTCTTTCAGGCACCACTGGGATGAAAGAATTGGCTGTAGCCATGAAAATGTGTGCTGGCACTCTTAAGGTTGCCATAGTGCTTGAGGAAAAGAGAAATACCAGGCTCTTCGGTCTGAAGGAAGGGGAAGACTTTAGCATGGAATTATGGACCAAGCTAGCTTAGATGCTAGGGCTGCTTCATTTCGCAGGGAAATGTCTTGGCAGCATAGCAACAACTATAACGGTTTATCACGATCTGTGTAAAAGATTGGAGGACTATGGCTGTTTATGTGAATGGAGGGTGTGTGCAAGAGGAGAAAGAGACCCTCACCCAACCATCAACAAGCAAAATGATGTTTCCCTTGCATGAGAAACAGGGTGGTTCTATATGTTCTGTCTCTGATAAAGAATGAGAATGGTTGCATAGTACAAAAAAGATAAAATTGGAGGATGAATGAAAAGGCTTCATAGTCATATACTAATTTGTGAGAAAGAGAGTTAAAATAGAATCATTTATTGTGCTGAATGCTTCTCATTTGAAAAAAATATGTTCTAGGCTTCTTCAATGTTGTGATGTAATATCTGCCAGTTTCAATTGAATTAATGAGCTAACTTTTGCAGGACATAAGTGTAAGGCACAGTATGAGAGAGCTATGTTAGATGATAGTAGATCCCAATGCTCTGAGTTAAGAGAAGTCACAGATTCCTTGTTTAGAACATTGCATAGATGTATGTGCTGTTGCCTGAGGTCATTCATTCCAATGTCTATGTATGTATTCAGGAATGACTAAGAGCCGGGCTAAAGAATCTTTTAGCTGAAGAGTGATGCACATAATGTTGATCTTACTACTTGGGTGAATAATTTACCCATCTTTCAGCAGAGCATGAAAAGTGACACTAGGAATTGCAGCAACCAGGAAAAATTGGAGTAACTGATTCATGATCTTTTGAACAAGCTCTTCCATTTGCAGACATTAGATGAGAAACTATCCTCTTAGAAATCTCAAAAATTGAAAGTGTTTGGCTAATAATCTCACTTATGAAAGAAGTAATGCCAACATACTGTATTCGTGTTCTTCATAAAAATACAAGTGCATTGGTGTGGATGGCATACAGTTGTAAGATCAACCCTACAATAAACACTGTAGAGCTGATAATAAAGATAACTCGGACCCTCTGGTTAAGAAAAATATTATACTGTTGGTTGCTTCCTAGACAGAGGAAAAAATAGTCCAGCTTTTGAATTGGACTATTAGAAAGTGACATAATTGTGGCAAGATAATGGAGAAATATGAACTTTTTTTCCATCTGTACTTCTGCTATGCTGTTTTGCAAAAAACATACCCTTGGGCATGTAAGGAGATTCTGATGGTAGAATGGTATTGCTGTGCTGTATTTTTATTTCTGTTTTCTTCTAAATGTTTTTCCTAATAGATATATTGTTTGTGTATTGTATGAATCCATAGGCAAGTTTAGATGACTTTTCTGTATCTCTGTTTATGTAACTTCTTATTATGAGAATGTTTTTGTTTTATGATACAAAGTTTAAGATAGTTGTCTTAAATTTAAAGTTATAAGCTCCCTCATGTTTAAAGCAGACATGTAAATCACAAGCATTTTAAACTAAACATTATTCTATTGGTGTTATTTACACACATAGGAACTCTTATTTTTCTTTCCAAATTTTTTATTGTAAAGTGGCTCTTATTTCCTGTCATGTTTGGCTTGCAACCACTTTTTGACTATTGCTGACACTTCTCTTCCTTGTTAGAATTTCAGCATTTCCACATATATTATTTGTTGTGAAAATAATGTCACAATTGCAAAAAGAAGGCAGAGAACAAGATAGGGCACTAGTTGTGCAACTAATAACTGACAGGCCATGCCAGCAACAACAGAAACTGACAAAAGGGCTGACTTTCAAAGGCTGTGCTTATGAGCAAAGGAAAAGGAAAGTGACTGAATGGATGTAAGGCCAAAATGAAGGTGGTCGATGAACAGAGTTAACTTCTAGGTAAACATTATGACCAAAGGGTCAATTTCCTTAGTTGCTGATACACAGGCACACACACACAAAATGTATCTTGCTAAGTGAAACATTTGTTAAGTGAGTTTGCCCCATTTTATTACTTTTTTGCCACCGTTGTTAAATGAATCATTGCATTTGTTAAGTCAGTTCTTTTATCTGGTTCTTTAATCCTTTTTTAGTTTAGAATAAACTTATTTTGAGGGCCTCAAGAAACACTTTGAAATGTCTTAATGTTCTCTAACCTGTCATATTGTAGTCATGAAGAACACAGTAATGTTGTGCACTACCATATGATATGTCTCACAGCAACCACTCATCTAGAAATAACTCACTTTTAAGGTTCCTTAGCAGCAACCTTTTTCCCCTATGCACCTTATTTTTACTTACCTTAAATAGTTTTAACATAGGGACTTCAATAAAGAAACAGGCTAATTAATTATCTTTTATCATTTAGGTTTTTACGATGGTTTAATAATGTTAATGATTTGATAAGATTAATGTAGCTTTTCTTGGCTGTCGCCCAACTTGTCTTGTTACTTGGGTGGTACCATCTGTTTCCATAGATTTGAAGCAGAGGAATCACAACAGTTTTGTTTTTAATTTTTCTCAGAAAATCACTGGAAGCTTTATGGCATGTATTTTATCATTCACTGGACTATTTTATTATGCCCTTTAATAATAAATTCACTATCTTTTCAGAAAAGCCTAAGCCACATAAATAAATTATGAGATTTGTTCTGGGGTTACTCAAGGATTTTATTGGTTATGTTTTTGTAAAAAGTTGGAAAAATCCAGATTTCTACCTGTTAAAATAACAGTATTTATGTTTGACTTCTATTCAGTATTGCTACCATCATTGCAAATGGAGATACTTAAAGATGTTTTGAATTTTTGCAACGTTTTGGAGACAGATAGCTGTCTCAGAAGGACTTCGGGGCAGAAAAGTTTTGGGAATTGGATAGCTATCCCAACTGATAATTAAAACTGTTTACCATCTTTTAACTGCTTGAAATCCATACCTTCATAGTAAAGACTCTGAAAAAAATAAATAAAATATTTTTGTAAGATCTGGATGCCAACATATTCTGCTTGCCAATTTACAATCTGAATATCATGCTGGAAGTATGGAACAGGAAAATCTGGATTGCAGTTCACTTCTGAGTTATGAATGCCCCACAAAGTATCATTTTCGGATGCATTTTACATTTTAATTGTTGTTTACCACTATTTTTTGTTATGATTTGACTCTTGAAAACATTACATGATCTATTGTTAATAATGCATATGCAGTTAGATCACTCCGAGTACAACAGTAATTGAAAAAATACCATATTCTAAATTTATTGAGAAAAGTCAGCCATTTAATTTACTATATTTTGTCTCTTTGCCAATTACTTTCATTCTGCCCTAATTTTATTCTGCCTAATCTAATTTATTTTCCCATGGTGAAGGAATTAAGCTTAAATTGATTTTGCATGCCATCCACATTCCTTCATGAATAATATACAATTACCCTCATCTCTTTCTCCTCATGTTTTTAGCCACTTGCTACCCACCAAATGTTTTAATTATACCTTCCATTGATGCTCATTATGATGGCCATTGGTTATTGTTTATGAGATCTATAGGGGACCACATCCTGCTTTGACATGATGTTCAAGTACAAAAATTTCTAGGAAAGAGATTGTGAGTCGAATCAGTGAGGAAAGTTCACTGTATGCCAAGAGAAGATAATGGGAAAGCAACATTTGCCAATTTCTGCCCTCTTATATTCCTGTTCCAGAAGGCTGGGGTATTTTTTTGGAATACCACGGGAAAGAGATACTAAGATCCATGGTCTCCATGGCAGGGGGGAAAGGATCATCATTTTAAAAATGGCAGATGCATTGCTTTGACCCATGGGTACAATGTTGACATATATACTTATGGTAAATTAATATGTCTAGTCTAATGAAAAGAAGAATTAGGAGTGATATTATAGTAGTGTTCCAATATCTAAGGGGCTACCACAAAGAAGAAGGGAGCTCAACCTATTCTCCAAAGCACCCGAGGGCAGGACAAGAAGCAATGGATGGAAACTAATCAAGGAAAGAGCCAACCTAGAACTAAGGAGAAATTTCCTGACATTTAGAACAATTAATTGGTGAAATGGCTTTCTTCCAAGTTGTGCGGGCTTCATCACTGGAGGGTTTTAAGAAGAGATTGGACAACCATTTGTCTGGAAAGGTCTAGAGTGTCCTGCTTGAGCATGGAGTTAGGTTAGAAGACTGCAAGGTCCCTTCCAATTGTGTTAAATGGGTCTCAATTATAATGTTATGTTCTGTAGGCCATTAGTGAAAATTGTGATCACTTCCTTTCTTCAGCAGGGGACCACTATTATATATTATTGTCTTTTGCAGAGAGGTCGTAGCTCTGAGGAATATCTGAATGTCTGCATCATTGTTCTTTTGTATTAAGTACTGCACGATAAGCACTTGTGGCCACCTCTCTTTTTCAATTCAGCCTTGTGAGAAGGCAAGATAAGTTTTTGTTCATGGTGCCCTTCACAACAGGTCCACAGTTACTGTGTGAAAACAAATAAATATGGGTTATTGTTATTACTGTTCCTACTGAATGCTTTTTAATGGCCTCTCTCTATTATCTAGTGCCATTTTGAAGCTCATCAAGAGGAAGGGATGGTGATCTCTCACATGGCTGTTGCAGGAGTGGGGATCTGGATTGCCTTCACATCGGGATCTACTCTCCGTCTTTTCCACACTGAAACCCTTAAACACCTCCAGGATGTTAATGTGGCCACTCTTGCTCACAATATGTTATCAGGTACCATTATTTATTCATTACCAGATTGTTTCTTTAAACAACTCTTGCTTTGAGCGCATGATGTTAAATCTGAAGGTTTAAACCTGAGATTGTGCAACCTGCTGCCCTGCCATTGGCACTTTATATCCAATCCATGGAAGTCACCTAATAATCTAGTTTTGCTATCATTCACAAAAGTGACTTGTCTTTTACTCATAACTCTGGTCTGAATGGAAACCTTAAGGACCTGATTTCTTGAAGGCAAGTGTTAACATAATTCTAAAAACACTGTTGGACAAAGAATATAGTAAGACAGAAAATCAGAGGGAGCCAGTTTGGCTTAATGGTTAAGGCATCAGGCTAGAAACTGAGAGATTTTTAAATTCTAATCCCAATTTAGTGAGGGCTGTAAAGCACTGTAAAACAGAGTGTGTAGGTCTAAGTAGTATTGCTATTTAGACAGGAGGCCAGTTGGGTGATCTTAGTTCAGTCATTCTTTCTCAGCACTGGGAAAAAGGCAAGGGCAGATCATCTTTGAAAATCTTTCCAAGGAAACTGCAGGGGTTTCTCCAAACAGTCTCCAAAGTCAATCTGCATGTTTACAAAGTCCTCCCCGTCCTTCAGCTCTAAAAATCAGACCGAGGAACCCTTGTGACCACAGGGCAAGTTAACTGCTCTCTATCTATTGTCAGTTCTCTGAAATTCTAATAGTACTTTTATTAACTGTATATTTTCTCCTCTTCCGGTACTTTTAGAAGGCCCTAACTTTGGGGCTACCCAATAAACACGCAAATTAGCCACTTGTTTCTGTATTCTCAGGGAAGTATTTTTGAAGTCTGTTGTCACTGTGCTAGAGGTAAACTGTGCCTGTGTGTGGTTTACAAATAGGTATTCCTGTGTGTGTGTGTTTTTTTTTTAATGGCTATTTGGAAAATATCTAATCTTAGCTATTACTGCCATGGAAAGACAAGAAGAGAAATATAAACTATGTTTTCCTGCTGAAGAACTTGAGATAAACATGCATACACCATTACAATTACGCTTCAGCTGCTTCTACTTTATGTGAAATGTCCCCCCCACACACACACAATTCGTGTAACAGTTACAATAGAGTTTTTTTGTACAGAGTAGCAAAGATTACATTGTAGTTAAAATTGATTTGATGTGGAACAAGAAAAAGGAGAATTTGTTTAAAGGTTCTTGTATCATAGTAAAAGCTGAAAAAAGTTGAAAACAAAGCAGTAAATGCATTGATCTGTAGATAATAGACTTCTGAAAAGCAGAAAGTAAGCAATAGAATAAAAGGAGTGTGCTTTTTAGTGCATTCGCACTAATGGCTATATTGCTGCATATTTTACTTGCCCATTTCTTCAGATTCAAACTATTCTGGTATGAAAATGTTTCCTTCATAAAGAGTAGAATGTAGCACACTTATACACATAAGTGTCTGTTTCCAAAATTAAAAAGCAAGTCTACATTCTGTAACTATACTGAACATGCAGAAGGCAAGCTGTTGCTAGGTGGGCATTGCTAGATGTAGATACATTCCCTGGACCGTTATTTAAAAATCACTGGGCTCGAAGAAGACATAAAAGCTATTGTAAATGACTGCTTAGTATTTAAATGTTATGTCTGAAGACACCTTTCTGTAGTTCCTTTTTATATATGATCAGGCAGGCATGAAGGTTTAGATTTCATGAATTCCTCATCACTATAGTTGGCTCCAAAAGCCACGGTAAGTTCTTTTTCACTTCTAGAACATCTGGAACTAGAGTGGCAATCTCTAGTTAAATCTTAATTTTAGAATTAAGTTTCTTAATTCTACAATTCTCACCAACTAAGGTAGTCCTTGACTTACGATGGTGATTGGGACTAGAATTTATGTAGTAGTTTATAAAGTGTGAATGCAGCAATGGCAATCCCTATAGTCCTGCTTGCCGCTGTTAACCAAACCATATAATTATAAGACAAAGTGTCTTCCCTCCAGTTTCCCATAATCAAATCAGTGGGGAAGCTGGCAGGAAGTCTCTGGTAGCATGCAAACAGGATGGCAGATAGGTGGCTGGCTACTGCCAGGTGGGGGAGTATATGGAAGTGGGAGGGAAATGTGGCAAGGGTGGGAGATATAGTGCAGGAGGATTTGGGGAATGTGTGAGAGGATGCACAAGGATGCAAGAGATGCAGAACAAGGCTCAGGGAGAGTGTTAAGAAATGCAAGAGAGATGTGACAAGGGACAGCAAGGATGTAATGGAGATATGAGGCTTGAGGAGGGTGTGTGAGAGTGCACAGGGGTGCAGGGGAGGCATGGCAAGGTTTGGGAGGATGTGCAGGGGTGCAAGGGAAATGCAGCAAAGCTTGACAGGATGCAAGAGAGGCACAGTGAGAGTCAAGAGAATGGGTGAGAGTATGGGTGTGTGTGAGAGGCGCAGCAAGATTTCAGGAGGATGCATGAGGGTGCATGAGTGGCCAGCATGGCATGAGCGCAGAGAAGCTGAGGAAGGATGTATGGGTAGGGGAAACTTCTCTCACAGACTTGTGAGCTTCCAAGACTAGCTACCTTATTGATTTTCTGAGGAAGGCAGTAGGGAAGGTCATAAACAGCAATTACATGATCAGTGCTGCAACCGTTTATTGATTATGATTGGTTATATGCCATTAAGTCATTGCTGACTTCAGTGACTAAACAGAGTTTACCTACGACAATCTGTCTCTAACTGGTCTTTCAGGACTTCCTTTATTGCCACTCTAAGTGAATCCATCCCCCTTACTACTAGTTATCCTCTCACATTTTTAAAAATAGGAACACATAAATATAACCCAGATTCATTAATTTACCCGGGCACAGCAGGATAGAGTAAAACACCTGCCTAACATCATCTCAAGATATGCTGACAAAAGTCACCCTTAAATGATAACATGCAATTTGAGCACCTTTAAATAAAATATGCTTTCAGATCATTCCTGCTCCTGAGATGAGATCAATCAATCTTATCCAGGGGTGGGATTCTACCAGTTCGCACCTATTCGCTAGAACCGGTTGTTAACATTCTAAGCAGTTTGGAGAACCGGTTGTTACAAGAAATTACTGGCCTAATCCTGTAAGGAAGGCAGGAAGGAAACATTCTGGTGTTGCTTACAGAAACTGCCTCTCCGTTAACCCTTATTACATTCTTGGCAGGACTAGACTTCCTGTCTCAGGAACTTCTCTGCAGTTTTTTCCCCTCCTTTGCTGGTACTTTGCTTGTGTGGAGTGACCATTCAAAGTTACAATGGCACTGAAATAAGTGACTTATGATTGTTTTACACACTTATGACTGTTGCAGCATCCCCCCACAGTCATGAGAGGCCAGGTGAGGAGATGGTGTCTCGATGTGAGTGATATTGAGTTGGCCACGCCCAGCCAATAACATGACCACCAAGCCACATCCACCCTATCACATGACCAAGCCACGCCCACCAACTAAGCCATGCCCACAGAACCGGTTGTTAAAAAAATTGAATCCCACCCCTGATCTTATCTGTTACTTTTTATGGAAATCATGAAAGAAGGGAACATATTGTGCATTCATCTAAAACACACATTCGGTTTGTATATCACACCCACAACTTTCTCATCTTGTAAATAATTATATGTCAACTTACTGAGAAAATCTGAAATGCTTTCTCATCCGGAAAATTTCACTACAGGTGCCAATGGTGGCATCTTTTAAATGCCGTGAGCTCTCTGTGCTTATATATCTGGAGTGTGAGCCAGTGGTGGTGTTCTAACTTTTTAATTTTTAAAATAGTAAAATGATTTTTTTGATATTTTAATTGCTTATGCATTGCTTTGAGATGGTAATTCAAGAGTTTGCCAACACAGAAAGTATAATATTTATACACCTACATGTTCCACAAATAATGACTTCAGACATCCAAAATATATGGCTATAATCTCATGATATGCGGATTCTTATGCAAGACTGCTTTTATCTTGATAATCTGTATGTTTAGATAAATTTCTTTGGAGTAGAGTTGCCTACATTACATAATAGGAGTATAAACTTTTTTGAGGGGGAGGGGGGTCTGTCAAAACTTTGAAAGGTCATTAAGTGACTGGTTGTACATCAAGGACTAGCTGTAACCCAGTCCCATGCCAAGAAAGTCTTTAAAGGACAAATCCACCACCTTAAATTGAATCCAGAAGTAGACTGGATATTTTAAGTTTTTTAAAGTATAACCTGGAAACATTCTAGCAAGTGGTCCAGATTGTTCAGCTTGTAAATATTTATAGCCACTGGGTTAAAAAAAACATTAAAGCCCAATAAATAACTAGAACAATGGGAGCTCTTCAGTTTTCTAAACATCCCATGTCCAGTTCTATGAAAAAGAGGTGACTCTGTAGTAAACCTAGATTTGTTTCACCTGTATATGCATGGGATCAAAATTCAAATGCTTAGCAACTGGTTCATACTTATGGTGATTGCAATGTCCCAGGGTCATATGAACAATATTTGCAACTTTCTGACAAGCAAAGTCAATAGGGAAGCCAGATTCACTTAACTGCAATGATTCTCTTACCAACTGTGGCAAGAAAAGTCATAAAATGGGGCAAAACTCAATAAATGTCTCATTTAGCAGTCTACATTTTGGACTCAATTGTGGTAATAAGTCAAGGGCTACCTATACACTGTTTGCCCTATGAAGATACATTGCATTACAGGAAGTATATACATATTAAACAAAGTTGTTGTACTATTTAAATTTAACCCAATTTAATACCTTAAATGTTTTAGTCCAAATTTTATCTATTTAGGATCAAGGTAGGAATAATTTATTCCAACAAAATATTCACTGGAAGTATTGATAAACTGAACCAATTTGCAGCCATTCCTGAAAACTAAAACTATTGGAAAAGCACAAAGCTGCAGTGATTCCACCATTCTGTACTTAACATGGAACGGTGCGCACAAATAAATTTAATGCATTTGCCATCTTATATGAATTATGTGTTTCAGAAGTTCATGTTCTCAAACAGGTG